CTGGACACTAAAGTTGCAAGGACGGATTTGAATCAGTAGTATACTACTGCGATAGGGAAGAGGATCCAGCATGCACTGAACTCAACTTGGATTTGTACACAAGGCATTTTAAAGGGAGAGTAAGGGAGGAGGGAGGGGGACCAGAGGGGCTTGAGTACAGTCAAGGAAGTGAAAAATTCCTAATCAGTGTAAATGCTGATTAGGCCAGCAGTGTGGCTACACAGAAACTGGGAGACAGAGACCCTGTCCTTTCTGATAATTACATTTCAAAAGAACAGCTTTCAGGTCTTTGAAAAAGACACTCCTGAGTTGTAAGAGATACATAATATCTCAAATGCACAGGGCAAGGATTTTCACAGTGCAAGTGTTTTTAGTAAATGCTCTAAGAAAGGGTGGTAAAGGGCCTGCCATCAAGTGTTGTCTAAAACAATGAGTACATTCTTTTGGCAGCCTTGAGCTCCTTAAAAGGGAGTAGGGTCATCCTAGGGAAGCAGGCCTTGAGCTGTCAGAAACGATGTTAGTGTTTGTTTGAGTCTTTAATGTGGGAGGATGGAGTTGATGGAATCATTCATGCTGAGTCTGCAGATTGTACAGGCCAAGGTTGATGCCTCGTTGAAATGAAGGCTCAGGAGAGCCTGGCTAGGATTTGGTAAAGGAGAGAATCGTTGTCAATTCCTACCTAGAAAATGGGAGTATACATTATCTCCCTTCCTCATAAAAGGAAAACACCCATTTTGTCTGCTCCCTTTCTTCCTGTTTTGAAAGTATTTGTGTGAGAATGTGATGACTGGAGTTATAGCAACTATATTGAGACCATGAGGGAACAAACTAAAAAGTCAATACTAACTCCCTAAGGAGTGTACTGTGTGGAAAACTAGAAAGAGCTTTGATTTTTGAGGACAGCACTGATTCTTCAGTCCAAATTTGAAACTGTAAATAGTGAAAGTAGACCTCGGTACTTGAGTTCTGGTTAGGAGAATGATTCAGAGCCAAGACTCAAACTCTTGAATGTAGATTTATTAAGCAAGAAAACAGAAAGTATACTCAAAGGGACATTTCGAGGGGGCAGTTCAAAGAGCTGCCCTAGGGTGTGGGCTAGGGCTCCTTTTAACGTGGGGGTGGTGGTGGTTAATGCTTTCTTCTTTATCTGTGGGGACCTGTCAGGTTGTCTTCTGTCCTTGTATGGAAGTCAGATGGGGCTTTCCTCCAGCCCCTTGTTCTCCTCTGTGGGTTGGGGTCTACACATGATTAGCCACATGGCAGGGGAGAAAAGGTCAGGGAGAATCTGACCTGCATGACTGAAGTTCTAGGGGAGGAAAGGATGCCTTAGGGGTGAGGTCCTGGTTAATAATACTTATTCCCAATGCTTGCTCTACCAGTTGTCTGGCCCATCTTCCTTGCTCTGTTCATGTCTGTCTGTCTACCACAGAACCATCTATTTCCAGCCCACCCCCCTTTTCAGTAAACTTTTAATTTTAGAATAGATTTACTGAAAAGATGCAAATGCAATAAAGAGAATTCCAGTACACCCCTCATCAAATTTCCCTTACTATTAACAATCTTACTTTGACAGTTCATTTGTCACAACTAAGAAACTAACATTGGAACAGTAGCAATAACTAAGCTCCATGCTTTATTAGAATTTTACTAGCTTTCCCCCTAATATCTTTTTCTAGTTCAGGATTCTCTATAGAGTATGACATTGCATTTAACTGTCACGTCTCTTTAGTTTTCTCTGGTGTATGACAGATTCTCAGTTTACTTGTGTTTCATGACCTTTGACAGATTTTAGGAGTACTGATCAGGTGTTTTGGATTTGTCTGATGTTCTTCTCCAGGAAGAACTGGGGTTATGGGGTTCTGAGGAGGAAGAGCACAGAGGTGAAGTATCCTCTCTATATCCCGGGCATGCCATCCCCATAATTCATTACTGACGATTTTAACCCTCATCACCTGACCAGGTACTGCTTGCCAGGTTTCTCCACTGTAGGCACTTCCCCCATGCTGCTCTGCACTCTTTGGAAGCATATCCCACAATCAAGGTAGGGGTGGGTGGGGCAGAAATTGAGCTCCATCTGGCGCAGGAAGTAGTATTTACCTAAAAGATGTGGCCCTGGCCGGTTTGGCTCAGCGGTTAGAGCGTCGGCCTGCGGTCCGGAGAGACCCGGGTTCGGTTCCCGCTAAGGGCACGTACCTCAGTTGCAGTTTGTCCCCGGCCCTGGCTGGTCGTGCGGGTGGCAGCCACTCGATGTGTCCCTTTCACATCGATGTTTCTCTCTCTCTCTCTCCCTCCTGCTCTATCTGAACAAAGAATAAAAAAGTGTCCTTGGATGAGGATAAAAAAAAAAAAAAATAAAAGATGTGGAATTCTGGCCCACCAGTGTGGATCTTTGGTTGCACCAAGAGGTCACAAGTTCAATTCCCGCTCAGGACACATGCCCAGGTTGTGGGCCTGATCGATCCCCAGTGGGGGGGCATGCAGGAGGCAGCCAATGGATGTTCTCTCTCATGGATGTTTCTCTCTCTCTCTAAACTCAGTAAAGGGAAAAAAAAATGTGGAATTCTCCTGCAAGGCTGATCCTGGGACCAGGCCAGGGAGGGAGAAGTGGGGCGGGGCCAGCGAGTAAAGGGGCGGGCGGGGAAGGAGGAGTGGGGCGGGGCCAGCGAGCAAAGGGGCGGACGGGGAGGGAGAGTGGGGCGGGGCCAGCGAGCAAAGGGGCGGGCGGGGAGGGAGGAGTGGGGCGGGGCCAGCGAGCAAAGGGGCGGGCGGGGAGGGAGGAGTGGGGCGGGGCCAGCGAGCAAAGGGGCGGGCGGGGAGGGAGGAGTGGGGCGGGGAGGGAGGAGTGGGGCGGGGCCAGCGAGCAAAGGGGCAGGCGGGCAGGCGGGGACTGTGGGATCCGGCAGGGCCAAGGCTGCCCCAGTTCCTTGGTTCCCGGAAGCGAGGTCCGCGGACCAAAGGGCGGGCCAGGTGCATGCCTTGAGGGCCGGGCCTGGGACGCGAGCCCAGGAGCTTCCTCCCCTTTCCTAAGAAGTGGAGGACTCCGCTCTGGCCGACTCTTTAGAGCGCAGGCTCCCCGCCCACGGGCGCTCGCGTTTCCTTACCCGTGGCTCCGGGTCGGGGGACTTAGACCGCAGCTGGTTGGGGCGGCTTGGCGCATCCGGAACACACTGCGCACGCGCCAGGCGGAAGCCTTGGTCTCGGTAGAGGATCAAGGCGGGTCCGACGGCGCCCACCCTCTCCCCGCTGCTGCCGCGGCCCGTCCCTGTAACCCACGGCCCCTGGGGTGCGGCTTTGGGCCCACGTGCCCCGGCTCCACGTGCCCCGGCCCGCCTGCCCCGCCGCCATCTTGGAGACTGTGCCCGCGCCAGGTGAGCCGGAAGCACTTCCGGGCCGGGGCCCGGGCAACGGGAGCCGGCTCTGGCGGGAGCTTTTCTATTTCGATTTGCGGCGGGCGGCGCGGAGGAGCCCGAGGCCCGGGGCTTGGGCGCGGCTGCAGCGGCCCGGGCGCGGGAGCTGCGGCGGCTCCGTGCAGGTCTGCGGCCGGGGCGGGAGGAGCGTGCGGCTGGCCGGGCTGTCACCTGGGCTGTCACCCTGGCTCCACGCGCAAGGCTCCCCCGCCGGACGGGGCCAGTGTGCGGGCGGAGCGCTGGGCAGCCGGGACGAGCCCTGGGACCGACTCGCCACCTTTCTGTAGATGACCCGGTGACCCTTTTAGGGCTGAAGTGGGATGTTAAGAGTGTCCGGAGCGCTCGTCTTCTTACTCGTTTCTGCCGGGCATTGGCAGTAGAGTTGAAAAGCAGTTGTGTGCTTAAAATGCACATAAGTAATCTTCATATATGTCACTTACGCACTCATACGTACATAAATCACAGCATAGGAGGGTACAAAAGTAAAAGAACCTCCTTTTGCATATCTTTGAATCTTTCCTTAAATCCTCTTAAAAATATATTTTTTAATTGACCTTTTTAGAGAGAGGGAGAGAGATAGAAACATTGACCAGGGATCAAACCCACAAACCTAGGTATGTGTCTTGCCTGGGAATTGAACCAGTGACCTCTTGGTTCATGGGCTGATACTCAGTCCACTGAGCCACATTGGTGAGGCAACCCTCTGGTTTTTATAAACATGTATAATGTGTTCAACAGCAAACCCAAAAGGTATCAGAGTGTAGCGTTCAACAACTTTGTTTTTTTCACATAATATATCTTGGGCCTTTTTACATCTTAGCATATATTTCCCCTTTGTTAGTAGCTGCATAATACTCCATTACTGGAATCCTGTTTTATTTTTTATTTTTTCAATTCTCACCTGAGAATATGTTTTTATTGATTTGAGAGAGAGATTAAGTGGGGGAGAGACATCAATGTGAGAGAAACATCCATTGATTGCCTCCCACATGGGCCCCAAGTGGGGATTGAACCCACAAACCTAGGTAGAAATGATCATGAAATCTAAAATGGCTACTAGAGCCTGGCCGGTGTGGCTCAGTGGTTGAGTGTCGACCCATGCACCAACAGGTCGCCAGTTTGATTCCCCATAGGGCACAAGTCTAGGTTGCGGGTTTGATCCCCAGTGTTGGGAGTGCAGGAGGTGGCCAGCCAAAGTTCTCTCTCATCGATGTTTCTATCTCTCTCTCTAAAATCAATAAAGGAAAAAATATTTAGACTTGGCCAGTTTGGCTCAGCAGTTGGAGCGTTGGCCTGCGGACCAGAGAGTCCTGGGTTCTGTTTCTGCTAGGGGCATGTACCAAAAAAAAGTGAAAAAAAAATTTAAAAAATACACACACACACACACACACACACACACACACATATGTATATATATATAAAAATTTATATAAAAAAGAATTGTTTTAGAAGGACCAATCAAATGGGCATTCCTCTACTGCACAAGCATTTAGCTCTCAGCATAAACGTTCTGTATGCAAAAATACTTTAGAGAAATGGTTTACCAAATAATATGTTTGTCTATTTAAATCTTTATTATAGGTAAAAAGAACAGTGATTATCATACACTGGGAAAAAAGACAAAGGAAGTGTTTTGTATTTTAAATTGGGCACCTAAACAGAAATTACAATTTTATTTATTTTTATTTTTAGAAATTATTTTAATTTTTTTATCTTTATTGTTGAAATATTACATGCCCCCTTTGGCCCCCAGAAACTGCAATTTTAATATGAAGAAGGGAAGAGGAAGAACAAGCCGGATCAGAAGACGAAAACTCTGCAGTTCTACATCAAGAGGAGGTACAGATGCGGTTTTTTTGGTGCCAGTAATGAAAAAAGGAACCTTTTGTTGCTTGATACTAACAGATGCACACAACTTCTCTCAAAGGCACAGGGGCATGTTCACAGAGACTGTTTCTTAAAGGGCACTCTTTGTGATTGTGCCGTTACATTCTTTTTAGCCCTTGTGGGAATAGAAACATATTTCTCATTCCTTCAACTGTGTCTTCTCTAGGGATGACCTCTCATTACCTGCAGGGTTTTTTCAATATAACCCAGTTTGAACAACACACTATAGGTCAGAGTGCTTGGCCAACTGGAAGGTACTACATTAATAACGTGAGGGTTTACCAGTGGCTTCTGCCTCTTTGAGATGATCACACAGTTCTTTTAGTTTACGTTATTTGTACATTTTAAATTGTATTTCTTTTTATAACAACACTAAGACAATTCATCAAAGATTTTCTTTTTATTTATTTAATTAAAAAATATGTTTTTTTTTTTTTTTAATTGATTTGAGAGAGAGAGGAAGGGAGAGAGAGAAACATTGATGAGAACATCAACATCCATTGGCTGCCTCCTGCACGTCCCCTGCTGGGGATGCTGGGGATGCTGGGGATTGAGGCCAAAACCCAGGCATGTACCCTAATCTGGAATTGAACCGGGAACCTCTTGGTACATAGGTCTATGCTCAACCACTGAGACATACCAGCTGAGCAGCGATTGTCTTTTTATTTATTTATTTATTTGTCCTCATCTGAGGATATTTTTCCATTTATCTTCAGACAGAGTGGGGGGTGGCAGTAGAGAGAGAGAAAGAAAGAAGGAAAGACAGAAAGACAGAAAGACAGAAAGACAGAAAGAAAGAAAGAAAGAAAGAAAGAAAGGAAGAGAAACGTCGATGTGAGAGAGACACATCTACTGGCTGCCTCCCAAATGACCCCTACCAGGGCTGGGGATGAACCTCAACTGAGGTACATGCTCTTGATGGAATTGAACCTGCAGCTCTAATATGCAGGCCAATGCTCTAACCACTGAGGAAAACTGGCCAGGGCTTATTTATTTATTTGTATTTTTTATTTTTGTTAATCCTCACTTGAGGATATTTTTCCCATTGATTTAAAAATTATTTTTTTTCTTTATTGATTTTAGAGAGAGGGAGAGAGAGACAGAAACATTGATGAGAGTCATCATCAATTGGCTGTCTCCTGCATGCCCCCCCACTGGGAATTTGGCCCCCAACCTGGGCAGGTGCCCTGACTGGGAATTGAACCAGCAACCTCTTGGTGCATGGGTTGATGCTTAGCCAGTGAGCCACACTGGCTGGGCTTTCCATTGATTTTTTTAGAGGGAGTGAGGGAGGGGGAGAAAGAAGAACATCAATGTGAGAGAGACACATTGATTGGTTGCCTCCCACATGCACCTGGGGCAACCCAGGTACGTGCCCTTGACTGGGAATTCAACCCGTGACCCTTGGGTGCGTGGGCCAACGCTTTGTCCATGGAGCCAATCCAGCCAGGGTGAGATTTTCTCTTTAAATGGTGATCTGATTATATAGTGAATTTATTTATTTTCATTTATTTATTTTTTTGTTAATCCTCACTTGAGGATATTTTTCCATTGATTTTTAGATAGAGTGGAAGGGAGGGAAGGAGAGAGAGGGGAGAGGTTGGGGAAGCATCAGTGTGAGAGAGACACATCGATTGGTTGCCTCCCAAATAACCCCAACCAAGGCCAGGGATCAAACCTGCAACCCAGGTATGTGCTCTTGACTGGGTATCAAACCTGAGACCATTCAGTCCTTGGGCTGATGCTCTAACTGCTGAACCACACTGACCAGGCATATATAGTGATTTTAATCACCTTTTTCTTCCATTGATTAGTGAATGAAAGCCACAAGCCTGAATTTATAGAACTTAAGAAGTGGCTGAAAGATAGGAAGTTTGAAGATACAAGCTTAATACCTGCTTGTTTTCCAGGTAAGACTGGCTTTCCGTTCTCATCACTTTGTGACATGAGACGTGGGCACAGGTGACAGGAAAGCAGGGTGAGTCTTGCAGGTGGCTTGCTCTCTCTGGGGCCATATCTTACATGTGCGTCAGGCTTCCTGCTTGTAGCTGTAGTTGTGAAGGTGGATTAACGTACTTTACCTTGTTCTAGAAATAAATTGAAGTGGCTTGTGGTGAGAGATACGAAATGGTGAAATAAAATTCAGAATTAAAAAAGGGAAATGAGAATAGAAAAATAAGGCGAAGGCAAGGATAAGGATAATACATAAAAACCACAATTATACAATCTTGTTGCCTCTCAGAGGTGAGCCACAAATCTGATGCTCTCCAGCAGCGGAGGCAAATTATATGGTCAGTAACCGGAGTCACTTTCTGTAACCTGAATTGTTGACTCTGCAGAAGTGCAGGTGTTCCGGGAACCTAGACTTGAGGGAAATGTCTTCACTGGCTCCTCGTAGGGAAGACATTGTGTAATGTGGAAACCAGTGTCCTTACGGACACACTTTCGGTGGTTTCATGGGACTTTTCAAGCCATGGAGGCTGAAGGGATTATCTCGTAGCTCAGGTGAATCAAAATCTTTTTCCGAGGGCGGGGAGGTTCCAAACGGCTGGTGGGCGTGCTTGTCTGCTGTGTGGCTGGAGCACAGGCGTCCTGGGAGGCCTCAGCTGCTCTGTACCTCTGCTCCCCACGTGCTGGAGGAGGAGGCCTCTGTGGCCTTAGCTTCAGCAGTCACCCGAGCAGAGGTGGGTGAACATCCTCTTCTGGAATTTGAGGAGCTTGTTGTGGAAGTCGGATTAATATTCTTTTCTGGAACATCTTACGGAAGCCAGGCAGCTTCTGTGGGCGTGTGCCTGCAGGCAAGGGTACCCGGTTCTGTCTAGAAGTGGGCTCGAGGTACCCACAGCGGGGACCAGAATGATCTACAGGATTTTGGGTCTGCTCTCGCACAGAGACAGTTGTGTGATCAGGGCCTTGAAATTCTACGCCACAGGTCTGGTGCAGATATCTTACCTGATAGAAGATTTAAATCGTATGCTCCTGAATGTTCTCTCTCGCCATTAAAATGATTATTCGAGTACCCATTAGGTTATCTAGCATTGAGCAAATTAACTTCCTTCTACATCACCCAAGATCAGTCATTCACCACGTGTGCCCTCGCCGAGATCAGTGACGTGTTTAAAGTTGCTCCCTATTTCACAGGACGACTTTGGGCTAAAATACTTGATTTAAGCCATTTTCTGTTAGGGTCGCTCTTACTTAATGGCGATGAATCTTATTAGTCAGCCTCTAACAGAATGTTTAACTTCTTGTTTTTGTGTCAAGAAACAGTTAGTAAAAGCCACAGTCCTGGGTTTTCCTGGACGGATTCTTCACGAGGGGATCAGAGCAGACGGGAGTGAGGTGCTGTGCCGAGGCCGGTCTCCCAGGGTCTCTGCTTGACAAGGACAGGTTTGAAATGATCGAGCAGGAATCGCATGTCCGTTAAGTGCAGTGCCTGAGAAGAAGGAATCTGCCTGTCGTTTGGGGCAGTGAAGAGTTACTGTGTTTGAAAGTAGGAGCAAGTCTCGGGGCCCACCTCCAGACTCATGGTCCTGGGGGAGCCCAAGCAGAATGGCTTGGCAGTTCCGGGGGCTGGGAACCTCTGTGAGTCAGCTTGGGCCTCCGCAACAAACCACCACGGCCCCGGGGCGTAGGCAGCAGTCGATCCTGATAGTTCTGGGCGCCGGGAGTGCAGGGTCGCGGTGCGGCAGGGTCAGCGTGTGAGGACCCGGTCCTGGTTTGCACACTGCCATCCTGGGTCCTCAGATGGTGGAGCAGCGGGACCGGGAGCAGCTCTCCTGCCTGTTTCTAGAAGGACTATCGTGAGGACTCCACCGATGACCTAACAACTTGCCAGAGGCCCTGCCTCCTAACGCCATCACATTAGGGGTTAGGGTTTCACATGTGAACTCTTAGGGGATGGAGGACACAGACATTCAGTCCACGACACCTTCTCTGCGTCCTTTCTGTATCTTGAGCTCTCAGTCGGCGGTGGTAGGAGCATTTATGGCAGACTGTGAACACGCACACGTGGGAGAATTCAACCCCAGTCTGTGGCAGAGCCAGAGGCTCCTTGGCTGCCAGCAGGACTCAGCCTCCAGGCCCTCACCTGGTGTGTGCTTCAGGGACTGCTCGGTGCTCTCCCACCACATCCGGCCCTGTCCGGTCCCTGGCAGACTTACGAGAGCGGAGAGGTTAAGGCGGGGAGCAGCCTGTGAGAAGCTTTCCTTTACGAGGTCCTAGTGGCCGCGTCCCGCCCCGCCTCGGGACGTGCCAGCCACTGTCTGCTTGCCGAGCTCGGACAGATGGTAGGATGGAGGTCAAGTGTCTTCCAGGCTCACCCCGTGACAGTTCTGTTCAAGTACAGGGCGGGGAGAGGTAGGTGCCCAGCTGTGAGTCCTCCAAACACAGTTTGTTCTTGTATTATAACGTATTAGTTATCGTAGTATTTATTTGTATTTCAACTGTAAGTCTACCTCTGCCCACCCCTATATATGTTTGGAGATAAATTTCCACTTAAACTATCATACAAGTTTTTTTTTTTTTTTTATCCTCACCCAAGGATATTTTTACATTTATCTCCAGATAGAGCGGGAGGGAGAGAGGGAGGAAGAGACAGAGAGAGAAACATCGATGTAAGAGACACATTGATTGGTGGCCACCTGCACGACTCCAACCGGGGCCAGGGATGAACTGCAACCGAGGTACGCGCCCTTGGCTGGAATCGAACACGGGACTCTTCGGTCCGTGGGCTGACACTCTAACCACTGAGCCAAACTGGCCAGGGCTGTCATACAAGTCTTTTAAAGGATGACCCCAGAGGGGAAAAAATCATTTTCTTAGTAATTGATTCCGGGGAGGGTTCTGGCCCACAGGGAGGATTAACTCCACCATGGGACACACACAGGAAATTACATAAGTTCTTAAAACCAAAACTGGGTGTCGGTGAGGCGGCGTGCTTCTGCGTAGGGAGGCGAGGGGGACTCATCACGCCATACTTGCTGGATGCTGAAGCAGGACGTGAGGCAGGAGCTCCCTCCTTGAACCAGGAGCCCGCAGTAGTCCTGCAGAGACTGGCCTTTGCCGAATTACATTCCCTCCTAGCGCAGAGAAGAAAGGGCAAGAACTACGCATGTGAAGAGATGAACACTCTGGACCCTGCCTAGTAGCCGCCGGGCCGGGTGTATCTGAGCCCCCAGAACAGCTGCTCTCTGATGGCCGCAGAGGGGGCCTTGGGCACCGGGGCGAGCTTCAGGGTGGTGGCGGTGTTGACAGTGCTGCTGGTGATGTTACTGTCACTGTGACTGCTCTGGTCAAGGGCAGCCGGCCCTCGGTCTACCCCACTGAGCTCGCCCAGTCAAGGAAAGCACCCAGTCTAATGGGGTGCCTGGTCAAGGAGGGTTGGGTGTAGTCCGCAGGCTCTGTGAACCTGACTGGGTGCTACCGGTCAGTCCGTCAGAGAGGTCTCGAGATCATTACTAGGGAAAGCTGGGTCTGGTGTAAATGGGCCGAGGCCCCTGAAGTCAGGTGGGTAATAGGTTGCCCCGACCCTGTCCCTGAAGCTGGTGGGCCCCTGGGGGCTCAGCTCAAGGTTCCTGTAAGAGTCCCAGCAGCAGATCCATAGGAAGCGCACGATCTCAGGTCTTGATCTGAAGCGCACGGTGCCCTTCCAGGATTCGGAACCGAAGGGAGGTGCGCACGTGCTCCAGAACAGCGTCTTGATCCTCTGGGGCTGGAAGGACACAGGAGGCCCGGCTTCAGCTTTGAGTGATTCTCAAGTTCATTCATATCGTCTAGCCAAAGTGTCCGAGACCTTGGAGCTACAGTGTGACTCACCCTTGCTCTGTCTTCGCATTCCCAGGTACAGGCAGAGGGATGATGAGCAAGACGGCCCTGCAGGTGAGACTCTCTCGTCCTCGAAGCCCAGTGTTGATTTTGCTGCTTTGTTTTTGTGGTTTGAATCAAGCGAATTAAAAATACGTCATACAGCCCTGGCCGGTTTGGCTCAGCGGTGGAGCATCAACCTGTGGCCCAGAGAGTCCCGGGTTCAATTCCAGCCAAGGGCACGTACCTTGGTTGCGGTTTGTCCCCAGCCCTGATCGGGGTCGTGCGGGAGGCAACCAGTCGAAGTGTCCCTCTCACGTTGATGTTTCTCTGTCTCTCCCTTTCTCTCCCTCTCTCACTATCTGAAGATAATCAGAAAACTATCCTCGGGTGAGGATTAAAAAAGAAAAATGACATACATAAGGCATTTTTTACCTAATAGATACTTTCAGTACAATTCTGTTAGAGTTGTTTGCTGCATACAAGAGGCAAACCCAAAGTAATAGTGCTTAAACAGAGAAGTTTATCTCGCTGTCATGTAAACACTCCTGGTGGGCCAACCTGGCTGGTGTGGTCCCGGGGCCGTCAGAGGCCCAGGCCCTTTCCAGCCCTCTGCCCCTGTCCTTAGGGGAGCCAGACACCCTCAGGTCTAGTGTGTAGCTCCTGAAGCTCTAGCAGCAGGACCGAGCAAGGGGTGAGGAAGGGTAGACTCCCTCCCGTCAAGAAAATTCAGCCTCATCTCAGCTGCCGCACCCCGGCCCTCAGCCCCAGCCGCTGCCAGGGGCTGAGCCCTGTCGTCAGCACCCTGCAGATGGGATTGCAGTGGTGACGAGGGAAGGCCTGTTGGCGTGCGCAGTCACACGTCTCAGCCGCGGCTGACCTTACACACCAGGTCGTGTTTTCAACGTGCCAGGGCGGGAGCCGCCCTCCCTGAGGGACTGTGTGGAGTGGCTAAGTAGACTGAGCCCCCGGGAGGAGGCCTCGGAGCCTTCCCAGGAGGGCCTTCGGCTCCGGCAGCACCCGAGGGAGCAAGGCTCCTGACCCTCGGCTGCTGCTCCCTGCCCTGGAGAACCGGGAGGGAATGGCTGGGCGAGCTCCAGGCTCCAGCAGTTCTTTCTGTGCTATTTAAGGACATCTAATGCGCAGTTTTCTGTAAAGCTGCAAATTAATTCCTTCATTTTTTTTTTTTTTATCCTCACCAGAGGACATTTTTCCATTTTTTGTCCAGATAGAGTGGGAGGTAGAGCGAGAGAGAGAAACATCGACGTGAAAGGGACACATTGTGTGGTTGCCACTCACACGACCCAACCAGGGCTGGGGACAAACTGCAACCGAGGTTCGTGCCCTTAGTGGGAACCGAACCCAGGTCTCTCTGGACCGTGGGGCTAAACTCTAACCGCTAAGCCAAACCGGCCAGGGCCCTTTATTTATTTTTAATTGTTTTTATGTAAAATTATTTAAATTTATTTCTAATGTCTTTCTTTTTTTAAGAATATATTTTTATTGATTTTTTTAGAGAGAGAGGAAGGGGGAGAGAGAGAGAGAGAGAGAGAAACATCGATGAGAGAGAACATTGATTGGCCACCTCTTGCATGCCCCCCACTGAGGATCAAGCCCACAACCTGGGCATGTGCCCTGACCAGCAATCAAACTGGGACCTCTCAGTCCATGGGACAATGCTCAGTCAACTGAGCCATACCGGCAGGGCTATTTTTAATTTTCTTGGTGCATGGATTGACGTTCAACCACTGAGCCACACCGGCCAGGCTATTTTTAATTTTATTAATTTGATTTTTATAAAACCTTGCCCTGTACATATGGTAAATTTTTTTTTTTTATCTTCACACGAGGATATTTTTCCATTTTTTGTACAGATAGAGTGGGAGGGAGAAAGAGGAAGGGAGAGAGAGACAGAAACATCGACGTGAAGGGACACATCGAGTGGCTGCCACCCGCACGACCAACCAGGGCCGGGGACAAACTGCAACCGAAATATGTGCCCTTAGCGGGAACCGAACCCGGGTCTCTCAGGACCGCAGGCCAACGCTCTAACCGCTGAGCCAAACCGGCCAGGGCTACATATGGTAAATTTTAATGTTGTAATTCTATTATGCTATTTTAATTATTTTATAAATTGGTAAAATATACATAGTATAAAATTTACCATCTTAATAATTTTAAGTGTGCAGCTTATTAGTACTAAGTACATTTACATTGTTGTGTAATATTTTTATTTTTTGAACGGAGGTGTAATTTACTTCTGAGAAATATACCTCTCGTGTATACAGCAGTAACTGTAGATTATTTTTGTTTAGATTATGAAATGAGAATTGGCAGTTTCTTTACATGTACTTTTATTTTATTTATTTATTTGTTTTAAATATGTTTATATTGATTTTTTTAGAGAGAAAGGAAAGGAGAAAGAGAAACAATGTGAGAGAGAAACATCGATTGGCTGGCTGCCTCCTGCACGCCCCCTACTGGAGGTTGAGTCCACAACCTGGACACGTGCCGTGACTGAGAATTGAACCAGGACCTCTCAGTCCATGGGACGATGCACAATCCACTGAGCCACACTGGCTGGGCTACATGTACATGTACTTTTAAAGGTGACTTTTTTGGCTCTGGCTGGTTTGGCTCAGCGGTTAGAGCGTCAGCCCACAGACCAGAGAGGCCTGGGTTCAGTTCCCGCTAAGGGCACGTACCTCGGTTGCAGTTTGTCCCTGGCCCCAGTTGGGGTTGTGTAGGTGGCAGCCACTCAGTGTGTCTCTCTCACATCGATGTTTCTCTTCCTCCCTCTCTCCCTCCCACTCTGTCTGAAGATAAATGCAAAAAAAAAAAAAGTCCTTGGGTGAGGATTAAAAAAAAAAAAGTGACTTTTTCGTTAAACTTTTGAAAGTTGAAACATAGTTTACACATAGTGAAATGCACAGGTTTTAAGAGTCCAGTTTGACGAGTTTTGAAGATGAAGAGAGTTACCCCAATGAAGATCTAGACCATTTTATCAAGTGGCTTTTTGTTTTAATCCTCACCAGGTATGTTTTTGTTGATTTGAGAGAGAGAGAGAGAGAGAGAGAGAGGCATCAATATGAGAGAGAAGCATCGATTGTTTGTCTCCCGAATGTGCCCTGACCAGGGATCAAACCGCAACCTAGGTATGTGCCCTGACTGGGAATTGAACCCACCACCTTTTGGTGTACAGGATGATACTCTAATCAACTGAGCCACCTGGCCAGGGCCCAGTGGCTTTTCTCAAAATCAGAAAGCCTTGGCTGTTAGGGTAGGAGGGTGGTCGTGATCATCTGGCTTAATCTCGATTTACAGATGCGAAACCAGAAGCGGGACCCAGACGATTGTTGCCTGAAATTATAACTTGGATGCCAGTTATGATGAAATTAGGGTCTCAGCACCTGGCTTCCTAGTGCTTTGTTTGTTTCTGGGGTCTGTTACTCGACATCTTAATTTTTCTTTCTCTGTTTCTATCTCAGTGGGAGGGGCTGAAAACAATACTTTTGCAGGTAGTAAGAGGAGACCCTCGTGTTGGGTGGGCTGCCATTTCTTTAGCTACTGGGCACAAATTACATGGAGAGTAGGCCATTGTCTGGGACTGTCAATGGATACATGGGGTTTCACTGGAGGGAATTTTTTTGGGTGGTTTATACCTGTTTCCCGAAGGTAGCACTCTTTCCTGGCCTAAGAGAGGGCAGGAACAATTTGGTTTCAGTTGTCAGAGTGTTTCCACAGCCCTTCCTGCGAAAGGTTGACTGGTGGTAGGTGTCAGTCACATGATTGACCTTTAACTCCTGTCGGGGTCGTAGTACCTGCGCTGTAGCAGGCTTGCCTGTATCCGCTGACTCGCTTGGAGTCAGTCTACCGGTGGGCTCTTTGGTGTCTGGTTGGTTATTCTGGGTTCTTAGTAGAGGTAGTGAAATCAAGGACTTTGAAAAACACGTACTCACAGGTACTTCCCAAAGCATGGGTGTTCTAAACTGTACTTTCTTTTTTGGTAAGGAGGGACAGGTGATTATTTCGTTGCCTGAGAGTTGCCTGCTCACCACGGACACAGTGATTAGGAGCTACTTAGGGGCGTACATTGCTAAGTAAGTGACCACACGTGCTCTCCTGGCACACCTGCTTCTCCTTATGTCTGTCATTGGCAGATCTGTCGCTGAGGACAGAGTTCCCGAGGGTCCAGCCCCTCTGCAGAGCCGATACCTGAAATGATGCTCAGGGTCTGCTCTTCTACGAAGTTTGCTCTTAATTCATTGTAAACTGCATTTTAAAGGTTTTTAAAAGGCTGCCTGGGAGGTGGGCTTGAATCCTGATCTGTCACGGAAAATGAAGATTCAATGGAATAATAGAGATAAGTCGTGGCCGAGTGCCCTGCCTCATGGTAGCTTGTTCCCCACTGTCACAGAGCTTGACCGATGTTAATTACTCTATCTTGTTCTTACCCTTATTGTACTTGAATTTTCTTTCAACTCTTTAAGAGTTGTTGACATTATCAGAGAGTTTTATGTAGCGTGGAAGAGAGGAGGCCGGCAGTGGAGGGAGAACTCATTTCCAGCTCATGGAACAGCGGGCCTTCGTCGGGCGCTGTCCGAGGCAGTGCGAGGCCTCGGCAGAGGGCGTTCTGAACTGTGAGGGTTGAAGGCTCATATTGTTTCTTAGCCCAGGGTGGTTCTGAATGTGCCCCCCACCTGCTTCTGTAAGAAGACTGACACATCCTCATTGGCCTAAGTAGAGGCGAGGACATGTTTCCCATCTCGTTCTGGAATTCTGAGTGGAATGTACGGTAATTTAGGAATCTGGACTTTGAAGAATTAACGTAAACTTTTCTAAATACATTCTTGCAGCATGAGATCTTTTTTATTGGAAACAGATAAAAATACTGCAGTGTATAATTTGCAACAGAGACGGTAAGTTTCAGACTAAAATCGAAATAGCTGTGCGTACCCAGCGGATGGGGCATGTCTGGATTCATCAGTTTCTTCCCCACTGTTTCTTGTCACTGTCCAAGTGAAACGGCCGAACTTCCAGCCAAAGCTTTAAAACTAGGGAACCAGCTGGAAGCAAAGAGGTGTTTTGGAAAAAGGACTCTCTTGCAAACAAAGCTGGGACTTGGGTCCGTGAGTCCGTTCTTGTGTCGATGTGCCTTGCTCAGAGCACCCTTGTTGGGTGCTCTCTGGGGGGGAACCCTTGAGGAAGGAAGGCCCCACTGTGGGCGCGGGAAACGAACTGAGCAGAACAAAGCACTAGGATGTCTGTATCTTTCAGTGAAATTAATTCCTTTAATTTGGCTTTTAATTTTACAAGGTGGCAGCCTCCTCCATCTCCTCTGCTGGCTCTGTGCACCTTTTTAGTCGCAGAAAGGCATGCTGGGGATCGGTCTCCCTGGAAGCCGTACCTGGAGGTTCTGCCGAAGGCCTACACCTGCCCTGTTTGTTTAGAGCCAGAAGTGGTGAATCTTCTTCCCAAATGCTTGAAGGCGAAGGCCAGCGAGCAGAGAACCCACGTGCAGGAGTTGTTTACTTCCTCCAGAGACCTTTTCTCTTCCCTGCAGCCTCTGTTTTCGGAGGCTGTTGAGAGCATCTTCAGCTACGGAGCCTTCCTGTGGGCCTGGTGCACGGTCAGCACCAGGGCCGTGTACATGGAGCGCGGGCGGAGGCCGTGCTTCTCCGCAGAGCCGGACACCTGCGCGCTCGCCCCGTACCTGGATCTGCTGAATCACAGCCCAGAGGTCCAGGTGAGGCGTCCACGAGGGGTGCGTGCTCTGTTTCGATAGGAGGGACCCCGACGTGCAGCACCTGGATAGGGACACCACAGGGAAAGGTGTAGCTGGCTCCAGGTAAACCTGCCTGCCCTCAGGTGTGCGCCTGTCCTCCCTCCCAGCCCCGCTTTCCCCCCTGGTGTCCGCGCTGTGTGCCCTGGACCGTCTGACCAGCAGCCCGCCCCTCCTTCCCACGTGGGGTGCGAGTCTCCCTTCCTCCCCCCAGAGCTGGCACTAGGCCTGTCTGGCTTTCCTGTCCCACCCCTTTGCCCCTGGTGGCGCTGCTGTCAGCGTTTCTCTGCCGTGACTTAGCTTCCCTCTGCCCTCGCTGACCTCTGCAGCCCCAGAGGGTTGGGACTTGCCTTGTTCCTCTTTGTTTTGTTTTGTTTTGTTTTTTTATTTAGTTTTGTTTTGTTTTTAATCTTTATCTGAGGATATTTTTCTGTTTATCTGCAGATAGAGTGGGAGGGAGATAGAGGGAGAAAGGGAGAGAGAGAAAAATCGGAGTGAGAGAGACATTGGCTGGTTGCCTCGCGCATGACCCAGACCAGGGCTGGGACGAACCGCAGCCAAGTTACAGGCCTTTGGCCGGAATCGAACCCGTGACTCATTGGTCTGTGGGCCGATGCTGTACTGATAAGCCAAACCAGCTAGGGCTGTTTCTTTTTAAATTTTTTTCTTTATTGATTTTAGGGAGAGAGGAAGGGAGAGATATAGAAACATCGATGAGAGAGAACATCAGTTGTCCGCCTCCTGTGGGATTTGGCCCACAACCTGGGCATGTGCCCTGAGCGGGCATCAAACCAGCGACCTCTTGGTGCACTGAGCCACACTGGCCGGCGCCTTGTTCCTCGTTGAAACCCCAGTCAGTGCTCAGTGCAGGGCCTGGCACACAGTGGGCGTTCAGTAAGCCTCTGTTGAATGGATGCATATTTGTGGGGAAAGGAGTCTGGGAAATCAGAAAGGAGATGGATCTGTCTGTAGGGCTCTGCTTTGCGGGCAGAGCTTGTCCGTGTGTTGGCTCTCCTGTAGCCCAGCTGGGGCAGCTTGGAGGCACACTGGCTGGGCCTGATGGGCAGCTGTCCTGAGAGGGCACGTGGCACCTGGGGAGCCCGCTGCCATGGAGAGGAGAGTGTGGGGCCCTGGCTGTGCTGTCCGAGGCCAGGGCCCTCTCCCGGCTTGTCTGCTTGTCACTTCTGTTGAGAGAGGTTTCTAACAACGCTGGCAAAGGAGGCCGAGGTTAGAAGGGTGTTCTTGTGGCTGATGTCGGGGCATGAAGTACAATAGGATGCTGAACCCAGGGGCTTGGTCCCCATTGGCGTGACTTGGTTTTGATTGGGCTGCCAGTGCATTTGTGCCCCAGACCAGTGATTGTACAGTTGAGTGTCGGGCACCACATTCTACAGCCTGTGCGCATGTGGTTCCAGGGCCCTGGATGGGCCTGAGATACTTCCTGTCTGCCCTTTATGGAGAAAAAGTGCCAACTTCTAGTCTCAGGTGCATTGCAGCTGGCTTTTGGTGTGAAACCCAGACCATGGCCCTAATCTGTTGCTGGTGCTGCAAGGTAGGAATTCCAGCCTTCCTGGGACTCGCTGCCAGGTAGGCGGTCTCGGTGCTTGTGCCCAGTCCTCACTGTGGGGAGCAGTTAGGTTTTCTTGTTCTTGCCTCTGTACCTGTCAGCTCACAGAATTGTCACAAAACCCACACGACAATGTCAAGCTCAAGGGCCGTGTACTTGAATCTGTGTGCTGCCTGGACACCTCGGGCCTCACAGGGCCCCAGAGGCTGGCGGTGAGTACTCTGCTCTCACCGGATAGTCCCCGGCCTGGGCATGGCTCCCACCTGGCTAGTGGCTCTGTCGGCCAGGCTAGCTGCACCCTGCCTGGTCTCAGCCTCCCTGCCAGCCCGTGGGATTATTCAGACAAGCCAGTCACATCTTCCCACAGGGAGCAGGGGCACCAGGAACCACCCGTTACTGCAGAGCCTGCTTCCTTCTGGTGGCCCTGCTGCCGACCCTGCTCCTGGTGCAGCCCTGTGTGGCCCGCTTGTCCTTCTCCCAGGCTGTGTATGTACCAGTGTCCACTGTCAGGTGTTTGCCATCCTCAGAACCTGGGCAGGACCCCCTTCCTCCCCAGCAGGTGAATGCAGTGTGGATGTGCATTGTTCTGAGCGTGTTTAAATCCACTGTCAGGTGTTTGCGAGGATCTTCTGTCTTTATCTTTTTTTCTTTTTTTTTTTAAGTTTTTTGTTTATTGATATTAGAGAGACAGAGAGAGAGACAGACATCGATGAGAGAGAACATCAACTGTCCGCCTCCTGCGTGCCCCCCACTGGGGATCAGGCCTACAACCTGGGCATGTGCCCGGACCAGGAATCAAACCAGTGACCTCTTGGTGCTTGGGTCCGTGTTCAACCTGTGAGCCACACTGGCTGGGCAGGGGCATCTGTCTTAAATTAATACAGAAACTTAGTCTTTTTAGTTTATGTTTTGCTTTAACAAACTCTTGAACAACTTGACTTTCCAGGTAAAAGCAGCATTCAGTGAGGAAACTCGCTGCTACGAGGTGAGGACGGGCTCAGGCTGCAGGCCGTACGAGGAGGTGCTCGTCTGCTACGGCCCGCACGACAGCCAGCGGCTGCTCCTGGAGTACGGCTTCGTCCCCCGCCGGAACCCCCACGCCTGCGTCCGCGTCTCCCCAGGTGGGGCTCGCTCTGCTTCTTCCCGCGAGCGGGATAGAAGTTTCGTTCCTTGTCGGCATGAGGTTATTTTCAGTTTTAATAAAAATGACAAACTTTAAAATGTATATTAGTCATGTCTCCTCAGTAGGACTGGCCTTCCTCTTAGTGCCCATTGGCTTCAGTAATAACAAGGCTTCGATCGATGTTGAGGGTGAGAAAAACCGGGCAGAGCTCCATTGCATTAGGTCAGACGGCAGGATGCCAGCAGGCAGAGTGTAAGGAAATACATTTCTTTTTGGTTCATCCTCACGTGAGGCTATTTTCCACTGATTTTTAGAGAGAGTGGAAAGGCAGGAGAGAGAGAGAAGGAGAAACATCGATGGGAGAGAGGCACATGGATTGCTTGCTTCCTGCATGTCTCTGACCGGGCCCAGGGATCAGACCTGCAACCCAGGTATGTGCCCTTGACCAGGATTCGAACTTGAGACCCTTCAGTCCAAGGGTTGATGCTCTAACCACTGAGGAAACCGGCCAGGGCAGGAATTAAATATTTAATAGATGGAAAGAAAAGGAAATCTTTGTACTGAGACATTTCACTCTCAGCTAAAGATAGAACATGGTTAGAAAGCAACAAATAACACATGTTTATTAAGCACTGACTTCATCACAGAGATGGGTATGTCACACAGTCCTTGTTTCGGGGTTCAGTGCCATGATGAAATACTGGTTTATGTTCTTTTGTGACCTATTAAGTAGTGTCATTGGTGTTCTTATTTTTAAGATAATAATTTAGCTATTAAATTTGTGCTGTGAAAACTCCAAATATAGTATGAAAAAGCAGAACACAGAAGATGATTCTTCCCGCCCCCTCCTGGAGCAGCAGAGAAACGGTTTTCCAGGCCACGACGAAATGGCCAGTTACTGAGTGTGTAATCTGAGGTACTTTGATGTAAGTTTAGTGAGAGCAGAAACTTGGTAGAGGCGATAACTACATTCTGTAGGCAGAATAATAATGTTACTTATTACTCAGCAAGGCTGAACTGTAAGGAATGGAAGCTAATGCATCTGTCGACATGTTTTCAAAAGTCCTGGAGAATCAGTTGCTGCAGACCACCAAACTAGGGGAAGAATATTTGGATGCTGAAATTCAGAAAATGGATCAGATGGACGAAGATGAATTGGAACACCTCAAAGAAAAGAGACTTAGGCACTAAGGAAAGCTCAACAGCAGAAACAAGAATGGCTTTCCAAAGGACATGGGGAATACAGAGAAATCCCTAGTGAGAGAGACTTTTTTCAAGAAGTCAAGGAGAGTAAAAATGTGGTTTGCCATTTCTACAGAGACTCCACGTTGAGGTGTAAAATACTAGACAAACATTTGGTGATATTGTCCAAGAAACATCTGGAGACCAAATTTTTGAAGCTGAATGTGGAAAAAGCACCTTTCCTTTGTGAGAGACTGAAGATCAAAGTCATTCCCCCCACTGGCACTGGTAAAAGATGGAAAAACACAAGATTACATCGTTGGATTTACTGACCTAGGAAATACAGATGACTTCACCACAGAAACTTTAGAATGGAGGCTTGGTGGTTCTGATATTCTCAATTACAGTGGAAATTTAATGGAGCCACCATTTCAGAGCCGAAAGAAAACTGGAACAAACTTCACAAAGCTGGAAAAGAAAACTATCCGAGGAAAGACATATGATTCAGACTCTGATGATGATTAGAGAGCAGATATAATTCTTTGTAAATTGCCTTTTTATTTCTGCTTACTTTAGAATTAGATGTGTCTTCTGAATTTCGTTGATTTTGATACATTGGTCATCTAATGGTCATATTCTAGTTTTATACAGTTGAATCACATCGAAACACATCTCTAATATTTTGTGTGGCGCTCATGTTTAATTTGAGGAAAACTGCTGAGTACTTAAATCATCTGGGTAGGATCTGGATTCTTTATTTTTGCGATTGATTTTATCACAATATGATTTTTACATTTTTATACCATTCACAGTTGTGTTCTTAATTCACCGGATTTGAAACAAGTTCAACGAACTATTTCAGGACTAATTCTCACGCATTGTTTACTTTATATAACAGGTCAAGAAACATTTACTGGTGTAATAGACTGCACTTGTAAATGAATTATAAACACTCTTCACTTCTGGAATATGTTTACATAACTATTAAAGAACTGCTTATTTATTAAAAAAAAAAAAAGTTACTTATTAAAATAAAATAGGAAAGCAACAATGGGACCTTGCTGGGTGTCTTAGAAAACTAGCCTTGAAACTAACCTCATGTTATCAGAATAACTTAAATATTGATGAAATACTGATTTGTGAACATTTATGTATTAGTTATAATTACATTTAAATAATTAAAAATAGCCCTGGCCGGTTTGGCTCAGCGGTTAGAGCGTCGGCCTGCGGTCCAGAGAGACCTGGGTTTGGTTCCTGCTAAGGGCATATACCTCGGTTGCAGTTGGTCCTGCGGGTGGCAGCCACTCGATGTGTCCCTTTCATGTCGATGTCTCTCTCTCTTCCTCTCTCTCCTTCCCACTCTGTCTGAACAAAAAATGGAAAGATGTCCTCGGGTGAGGATAAAAATAAATAAATAAATACAGAAGTCTCTCATGACTCTAATACTCCAAATAGCTTCGTCAGTTTTTGCATATTCTCTTTCAGTGGCTGGCGGTTATGGTCACAGTGTCAGACAGTGGTGAAGTCTGGCTTTAGAAACGTAGTTCTGGGCGCATTTTCTCGTGTTTGTCCAGAGCCTACACTTTCGGTGGGTGTGCTCCGAGGTCCTTCCGAGGGCTTCGTGGCCCGAGTGTGCTGGTGGATGTGCTTAGAGGGAGCGTGAGCTGGGGTTGGGGGTGTAGGGTCCTTGCTTGGAGTTCTCGTGGCTTTTCTGGAGCTGACGACGATCTCGTCGAGTGGGACTGAAGAGTGGATTTCCCGGGCGTGGCTTAGGCAACGCTGTCTCCAGTGTTGCCTGCCAGTGGGAAGGAGACAAGCTGAGAAGGAAAGGCTGTGCTTTATCCCACTTACACCCTCGATCTCACTCTGATTTTTTTATGTAGATATGCTTGTTAAATATCTCCCATCAACAGATAAACAGATGAACAAAAAGATGTCCATTTTAAAGGATCATGACTTTATAGAGTAAGTGTTTCTCTCAGAACTGTCCGTGTGGGTTTCTGTGGGTATGCGGTACCTCTTGGCTGGCACCCTTCGGAGGGGGTGTTTGTCCAGCACTCGCTACGTGCAGTGAACTGTGCTCGCTGTTGTGGGGCGCGCAGGGGTGGGAGATTCCTCTCACGAAGCTCTTTCAGGGTCGTGAACTGGGTAATCAAGGCAGCAGACAGCTCTGCGTACTGATTGGTGGCCAGTGTGCGTGTCTCCCGAGTGGTAAGGGGGGGTGGCATTAGGCTACTGGAGGCCAGGCTGGCCCTCACCTAACACATGGTGTGGGCTCTTGGGATGGGGTGATTTCACACCATGTGGGGTAAACAGGGTTCAAGGCTCCCCCTTCTGTAGATGAAATAAGTTATAAATAGTCCAGCCTCGGTACGGGGGCAGTCTCGCTGTGGCTGCGGCTGCCGTTCCATTGACCCCCAGGACGATCCAGATTCTTCACTTACCTCCCTCGGCTGTGGCTCGTGCCCCCCGCTGTGCCCCTCATCCGAGTTCACGTGCTTCCCAAAACAAGTTGGAAAACAGCGTTTTAGTTTTTTTTTTTTTTAACATGAAAGACTTTTCTGTTACTCAGGCTTTATAATTAAGTATTTACAGACTTATTATTCCCTTTTATCTCTCTGACCAAGGTCGCGGGTTACGTATTTAGTGGCTGCTTTAGAAAAACTTTCTGCCATGGTGTCATGAAGCCCCGAAGTGACGGGTCTGTCCTTGTCGTCCTACTTTAGAAATCTGACGTTTGGATGGGACGGGCCGTCGTGGAGGTTGCTCACAGCTCTCAAGTTGTTATGTCTGGAGGCCGAAGAATTGTAAGTCCCTCGTGTGGGCCGCGGGCTGTGTTCTGGAAGGCCCTGCACACCGGGCTGCTCATCCTTGCCGTCACTCCCCGTGGGCGGCTGCTCACCTCCAAGCCGTCACTGTTTCTGGAGCGCTGGCCTCAGCATCGTGACGAGGGTGCTGGTGCGGGGGACGTCCTCGTCTCTGCTCAGACCTTCTCCCTGCTGGCCCGCAGCTCGTTCAGGGCATGCACGTCCAAGTGTGGCCTTGGCCCGTCCAGAAGCCAGGAGAGCTCCTGACCCCCACCAGTTCCGCCCTGGCAGGCCCAGGCCCCCAGGGAAGGAGAGGCCTGGGCGTGTTCATGGGGGGGCACAGAGGAGCCCCTGGTGTAACGCGCGTCGTGGTCAGGCTTCTGGTTCTTCCCCGGTGCGGAAAGGGCCGTGGGCTCCCGGGGCGGTGTGGCCCAGCCCGGAGCTCCTTCGGCCCGGTGGCGGTCAGGGCACCGGAGCAGCGCACTGGGAGTGAAGCTGGCGTGAGAGCCGTGAACAGGGAGGACTTCCCTGAGATGCTTCCGCGTGACTAGCAGAGGACATGGTATGCTGTGTCTGAAGCCTTTTTCTTTTTTAATCCTCACCCGAGGATATTTTTCTATTTATCTTCCGACAGAGTGGGAGGGGGGGAGAGGGAGAGAGAGAAACATTCGTGTGAGAGGGACACATCGACTGGTTGCCTCCCTCATGACCCCGACCAGGGCTGGGGACGAACCATAACCGAGGTACGTGCTCTCGGCCGGAATCAAACCCATGACTCATTGGTCTGCAGGCCGACGCTGTACCACTGAGCCAAACCAGCCGGGCAGTGTAAAAGTCGTCTTTATTTTTTGAGACCCTACTGAAATGATCTTATTAAACATTTTGGTTCTAGTCCACGCTGGAAAAAAGTACTTCTTGGGGAAATAATTTCAGATACAAATGAGAAGACAAGTTTGGACATAGCCCAGAAAATATGCCACTATTTCACAGAGGAAGCTAATGCTATGCTTCAAAAGGTAGGTTCCTATAATTTTGCATCTTTAAAATTTTTTTTTCTTTATTGATTTTGTGTGTGTGTGTGTGTGGTACGTGCCCCTAGCGGGAACCGAACCCGGGACTCTGGTCTGCAGGCTGATGCTCAACCCTGAGCCAAACTGGCCAGGGCTTTATTGATTTTTAGAGAGAGAGGAAGGGAGAGGGAGAGATGGAAACATCGATGAGAGAGAACATCGACTGGCCGCCTCCTGCATGCCCCCCACTGGAGATCGGGCCCATACCCTGGGCATGTGCCGTGACTGGGAATCAAACCGGCGACCTCTTGGTGCATGGGTCGAGGCTCAAACACTGAGCCACACTGGCCGAGCTGTAATCTTTTCTTAAAGAAGTGTTTTGAATAAGTCTCATGTTGGATGCATTGGATAAGGATGGTACACCTCAGGGTGTTATTTAATACCTTAAATAAATGAACATTGATGTGATCTATTTTCTCACTACCAACATTGTGTCAGCACCTTTTAATAGGTAACATTATTGCATGAATTCTTGGTAATATGTTTTTAAGTAGTCTTTTCCTTTTATTTTAATTTAGTAAATGTATTAATTAAATGACTAATCTCATTAGAATGAAAACCTTGCTAGGATTTAAAAATTTTAATGAGCCTTGAAGATAACATTGTGCTAAGTGAAATAAACCAGAAAAAAGACAAATACTGCATGATTCCACTTACATGAGATGCTAGAGTAGGCGGATTCCTGGAGACCGACAGGAGAGGTGCCGCGGCTGGGAGGCCGAAGCGGGGAGCAGTGTTTAATGCGGCAGGGTTTCCTTTTGGGACGATGAAACAGTGTGGTGATGATGACATAACACTGTGAACTCACTTAACACCCTGAATTGTATATTTAAAAGTGCTCAAAATGGTACATTTTATGTATCTTTTATTACAATAAATTTAAAAATAACTTCCAGGTGTGTCACATGAAAGATGAAGAAGTGGCTTTGAGAGACCAGCTCACTTTGGTTGAAGCATTGTGGGCAGAGGGGCTGAAGGTCCTCCGGGTGTCCGCCGAGACCCTGAGCAGTTTGCGGGCAGCTCTCCGGTAACTGCCGAAGTCACAGGACCGCCTCCTCTGCGGGGCGAGACTTCTTAACTGTCTTTGCACTGAGGTTCGTTTACCTGGAGTCCTGTACACGTGACGGATGTTTCTATAAACAACAGTGTACGCGATCCTGTGCCTTTTCCTCTCGTTTGTGGGCTGGCGCGGCGGCCGCGGCTAGGGCCCAGGACATTAGCACATCTGCAGCGGGCAGAGCAGGTTCCGGGCCTGCGGAGCTGGAAGTGAAGAAGGATGTGCCCTCCTAAGGCTCTTGGAAAACTCAAAATAAACAGCAGCCCTGAAGGAAGAAGTGTGAAGAAAGTGTGAACTGTACCGAGAGAGGGAGCCGAGGGAGCGGGGAGCCAGCCAGCTCCGTGTGGGGTCTTCTGTCACTGGGTGTCCTGCTGCGGCTGACTCAGCGCTGTGCTGCACGAAGTGCTTCTCGTACCCTTTGACACCAGCAGGGTTAGGGAGCTCTGAGCTGAGCAGAGCACTTCAGATTTTCCACCCTTGACTTCCCAACTGAAACAGCCGGTTGGGCTGGTGAGGCTGTTCTGCTGTGCTAGCCCTCCGCGGTAGAGGCCCTGCGACGCCGTGTGTCCCGCTGTCTGTGGACCAGGGAACTGGATGATCAGAGGGACATCCAGTGCCGACCATGACTTGTTGATGAGTCATCGTGGTACACAGCCGTGTGCCCTGCCTCCCAGTCCGTCTGCAGCTCAGACCTGGTCAGCCAGTCCCTTCACCACGTTCTGTGACGGCTGCTCACCTTGTATTCTGCTGCTTTCTGTGGTTTTCGTGGTGTCAGGAGGATGAGAAACACGCGTGTGCTCACTTGGCCATTCAGAATTACAAGTCTTTGCCTTCTTTTTTAAGTTAGGAAGGCGTTTTAGGCTAGTGACTTCTCTCTGAGTGTGGCTCTATGTGAAGTGTGCTCTAAATAGTACTTTTTAGATCTTGGCTGTGGTCTTACACTTTCACAGCGTTTCCATGGCTGTTAATGTCCAGGACAGCCGAGGGGTGGGGGGTGTCCGAGCAGCGGTCAGATCATCCTGCAGAAGCACACGGCGCTTATGAGAACCGGACGTCACTGAAACACAAGACAGGAGCGTCTGTTGCATATCCGCCTGGGTGCAGAGCCGTGTGTGCAGAGCTTCAGTTGAGCCTGCCTGCCCTGCTTCGCGGGGAACAGGTGGAACAGGCCCCTCCCGCCCTCAGGCCGCTGTTCAGTGTGGTGGGCCTGTGTCCGCGCCTCCCCGCTGTCCGCACCTGGGGGGGCAGCTCACGCCCTCTGCCTGTCATCTGTTTTTTGTTAATCCTCATCCAAGGATATATTTTTCCATTGATTTTTAGAGAGAGTGGAAGGGGAGGGAGAGAGAGAAGGAAACATCGACATTGATCAGTTGCCTCCCACATGCTACCCTGACCCAGGGACTGAACCTGCCACCCAGGTACATGCCCTGACGGTGAATCGAACCTGAGACCCTTTGGTCCGAAAACCGACGCTCCCACCGCTGAGCCACGCTGGCCAGTGCCTGCGGCATGATTGTTAGCTGGCACCGACTGGCTCAGAGGAGGCTGCTTCGACTTTCACCTGGCGTCAGCGAGCTGCGACCTCAGAAAGCTCGGTGGGAGGCCTCGGAGGGGTCAGCGTTGCTGTCCTGCCGCGCCATGGAAACATCCGTCTTGATGCAAAAGGTAGTGGGAGCCTCGCCTGCCAGAGAGCAGCCTTCTCCTCTCCGGGCAGCCAGCCCGCGTCCTCACTGCGCATGTCCTCTCCGGGCAGCCAGCCCGCGTCCTCACTGCGCATGTCGCCTCGAGAGAGCTCGGACGGCTCGGCCTGCGCCGGGAGAGATGGAGTCTTACTCAGGAAGCCGGGGGCTCGCCCCTCTGCTCTGCAGACACCACTCCTCTGCCCATGCGTCCTTCTCACGTGGACGCATTAGCGTAGGTGTTGGAGGAGCCTTCTGGGGGACACATTTAGGGTTCCCAGGAGGAGGGCGTTACCTCTAAAGGTGCTCCTTGCCTCTTGCACCCTGAAGCAGAGCTTATCTAACTGCTAATTTGGGAAGACGGGTTGGCTGGCCATGCAGTTCTTTAGGATTTTCCCCTGGAGTTTTTCCTGGTCAAGCCTCCAGCTGGGGAAGCTGGCCTGGTCCAGCACAGCTGGGCCTTGGAGTGTCTGCTCGATTCTGAGGTTCATGTACATAAACTGACCTGAAACCACCATCACATCTCGACCTCTATCCTGACTCTTATTTTATACCCTGTTCAGAACCAGGGTGGGAAGAAGGGGGTATCCCTCTATAACCTCAAGGGGCTTTGGCCTCCAGGGACCCCTGGGTGCGTCATGCAGGGGGTGGCGCCATGGAGGGGTCTCTGGATTCCCAGAGGTTGGGGCTGGGCCTGCGCTGCTCAGACCTTCCTGCTGCCCAGAGCCCTCCTGTTTTCCCTCCTGGAAATCGAATCCATCTCATGTGGAACACACAGAACCCAGTGAGTGGGTTCCTCTGACAGAGTTAGAAATAAACATTATTATTGTGTCTCGAACATTTTTTCCTGTTCTCTTTTTTTGGTGCCTTGTGCATGCCCGAGGCTCCTAACACACCTACCCTGCTGGTATTGGGTTGCAGAGTCTGGGTGGGAAACCTCCTACTCAGACTGGGCCCGAGGGGACAGACACCTAGAAGTTAAGGAGGTTTCAGGCATTCCTCACATATTTCCAGCTAAAAGCTGAAGAGGCACTGCTCAGGCTGGGGCACTAGGAGTGTCATCTCACACAGCAGGGTCACAGCCCACACAATAGGGTTGTGCCCCACACACAGTGTCAGTGTGCTCCCCACACAGTGTCAGCGCAACACACGCAGTGTCAGTGCAACACACGCAGTGTTAGTGCAACACAGTGTCAGTGCAACACGCAGTGTCTGTGCAACACACAGTGTCAGTGTACTACACACAGTGTCAGTGCAACACGCAGTGTCAGTGCAACACACAGTGTCAGTGCAACACACAGCATCAGTGAAACAGTATCAGTGTACCACACCAGTGTCAGTGCAACACAGTGTCTGTGCAACACACACAGTGTCAGTGCAACAAACAGTGTCGGTGTACTACACAGTGTCAGTGCAACAAACACAGTGTCAGAGTGCAACACCCAGTGTCACTGCACCCCACACCCAGTGTCACTGCACCCCACACCCAGTGTCACTGCACCACACACAAGTGTGCCAACTGCTCTCTTCAGGGCTGGTCCTCTCTTCTCAGACGGCATCTCTGTCTTTCTCAGTCTGTTGTAACCTTTCCCTGGATACTTCTTGTTTAATTTCCTTCCATTCCATGCAGTTTTAACATTAGGCTGTGAACAAATTCTAAAAGCTGCTCACAGAAATCCAGTGGACTTCACACCCACTCGGGCTGCTGTCATCAACACAGACGAGAACGAGAGCTGCTGAGGATCTGGAGAACTTGGGAGCCTGTCCGCCATTGGTGGGAAAGGAAGTGGGCCAGCTGCTTGGGAATCAGTTGGTCAGTCTCTCAAAAGGCCAAGCAAAGAGTGACCTTAAGACCCAGCGGTTCCCTCCTAGGTACACACCCGGAGAACTGAACACACGTCCACACAGACACGAACGTGAGGACTCCCTGCAATCCCAGATGTCCTTCAGCAGGCCAGGGGCCAAACTAAAGGTGTGTCCCTGAAATGGAGAACTTTTCAGCCATAGGGAGGAATGAAGTCCTGGACATGGATGGCCCTTAAGATCGTTATGCTGAGTGAAGAATCCGGCCCCAAAGCCCACGTGATCTCATCCACGGGAAGCGCCCAGGGCAGGCGGGTCACAGCGATGGGAGTAGACCGTGGCTGCTGCGAGCTGGGTGCTGGAGGGAGTCGAGGGTGAGAGTGAAGCGTCCGGGGTTCCTTTTGGGGTGATGAAAACTGTTCTACAATTGATGTGCTGGTGGTTGCACAACTGTGAATAGTCTAAAACCCACTGAACTGCACACTTTCCATGAATTGTGTGGCACATGAGTCACATCTCAATTAAGCGATTTGGAAAATTTTTTTTTTTTCCTTTATTGATTTTATTTTATTTTATTTTTATCCTCACCCGAGGACATTTTTCCATTTTTTGTTCAGGTAGAGTGGGAGGGAGAGAGAGGAACAGAGAGAGAGAGAAACATCGACGTGAAAGGAACACATCGAGTGGCTGCCACCCACACAAGCGACCAGGGCCGGGGACAAACTGCAACCGAGGTACGCGCCCTTAGCGGGAACCGAACCCGGGTCTCTCAGGACCGCAGGCCGACGCTCTAACCGCTGAACCAAACCGGCCAGGGATCCTTTATTGATTTTAGAGAGAGAGAAAGGGAGAGAGTGAGAGAGATAGACACATCGATGAGAGAGAACATTGATTGGCCGCCTCCTGCAGGCCCCCCACTGGGGATCGGGCCCACAACCTGGGCATGTGCCCTGACCGGGCATTGAACCAAGTGACTTCTTGGTGCAGGGTCGATGCTCAACCACTGAGCCACACCAGCCAGGCTATCATTGGTTTTTTAAAAGCCATTTAAAAAATTCATCCATCCACTCTTGGCCTTTGAATTAGGGAATTTAAATCATTTTTCCATCTGAATAACTTGATTGCTATTGCCATTTTGTTAACTGCTTGCTGGTTGCTTTGTAACTCCTGTCTTTCTCTCCTGCTGTCTTTGGAAGCTGAGTCCTGTAGGGGTGTGCTTCCATTCTGCTTGCTTGGTGGTACCACGAGGCTCTCATCATCCACCCTACGGTCATGACTATTTTAGGCTGATAACTTAAGTTACGTAAAACGTTCTACAGGTTTACTTGCTCACACTCACAATGGATGTTGTTGGTGTCCCAGCTTACATATTTTCATATTGTGTATTCGTTAACAAAATATCGTTGTTATAGTTATTTTTTAACAAATCTGTCTTTTAACCTATAGGCTCAAGTTCAAAGTGATTTTCACACCACCATTGCAATATTAGAATATTTTGAAATTGGCTATATATTGACCTTTACCAGTGAATTTTATGTGTTTTCATGTTACGAGTTGGCATATTTTTGTTTCAGCTTGAAGACCTTTTAGCGCATGTGGGGTTCCTGAAGCTCCAGGTGTCTCGCGTGCCCCACTGTTCCCTCTCGGAGCCTCGGGGCGATGGGCACAGCTGCTTTAATTTCTCCCAGCTGGAACGTTCTGGTTTTCCAAGGCCACCGTCACGATGGTTTTGGGAGGCAGGATAGAGAGTGCCAATGCTGCTGAAATAATCTTATAAATAGTACCAGCCTGAGTCGAGCACAGATTAACCCAGAGCTCAGTGCTTAACGCTTGGTTCGGCCAGTCCAGTTAAACATGAGTGGCCAGCCCACGACAGGTGCTCGGGGCATTTCAGCTGTGTCTCCTTTAAAAACAAGCCGCACCTGTCACTGTCCCAAAGGCTGGGGCCGGTTCCCGAAAAATACCAAGTGGTGCTCCGAGTCTGTGGGACTTGGCAGTGAGCTTGAGACACTTCCGTCTTCGTCCACTTGATGGCGGGAGAGGACCGCTGAGCTGAGGAAGCTTACCTGCTGCTCTGCCAAACGGCCAGGGCGCGTTCCTTTCAGAGGGTAGACGGTCCGGACAAAGCAGGACCAACTCTGTGTTGCTACTGGGGTAAAAGCAGACGTTCAGATTCGCCTGTGGCCGTTGGACCTCCTTGGATGAGAAACAGGCCAGTAAACATGAGTTCCAGATGAAGGGGCCTGGCCGGGTGTGGTGGGCTCAGGGGGACAGAGGAGGCAGGTGGTAAGACGCAGGAACTGCTCTGTCTCTGCCTGTGGACAGGCCATCAATAATGTCAATATTTAGCACTTTTTCTTTGAAAAGGAGAGAATTTCTCCCATGAGGTAGCAGGTGTTAATTCTGTGGTCACCGAGCACATGTAGACAGAGGTCCTGACACAGAGGGAAGCGGAAGCATCACTTTTGGGGAGTGTACGTTGCCCACCCACACCGAGAAAGGGAGCCTGCTCCCGGGGCTGGTCTTCTGCCACATGTTTCTAGAATTAGAAACTGGCGCATTTGGCGGAGAGGAGCCGTGTCCTCGGATGGACGGGGGCTGGCCAGCCGGTGCTGGGTGTGTGCAACGTGAGGACAGCAAGGCTGCGTGCGCTGCACCGTGGGCTCCGCCCTGCACGTCACCGACAGGCTCCAGACCCCAAAGGGCGGGGACGCCCTGGCAGCCTCACTCGAAATGGCTTCATGGGTCTGCTGGGCGTTCTCAGGGCCCCACCGGC